CGTTTTATTGCACATTAACCGATGGTGCCACGTAGGCTGATTACTCAAAATTAACAATTGCTGTACAAGTCCCCGTTAGCTAAGTCAGAGCTGGTCACCAGCAACCATCCTGTTAAAATCACGAGTAAAAGTGGCTGTCATTTATGAGAACTTTCCTAAACCACTAAGAACATGAAGATGATATACCCCGTGCAGACTAATTTGTTATAATTTTAATAAACGGCTTCCAGGGAACGACAGGTCTGAGTGTATTTGCTAATCAGTTTGAAAAACTTCATTTTTACAATGCCTGTTTTGTGGAGCATGCCACCGGATAGTTACTAATTGGATGTTTTTTTCTTTAAACTCTGGCCCTTACAAATGGAGTGTGAAGCTGATACTATTTGCAGCATAACTTGATCATGACTGTCACCTGTAATCGCACATTCAATTGCTTCTAACAAATTCTTTTAAACCATAATCCATGCAGAACACTCCAAAAAACCTGACACTGCTCATAGCGCAACTCTATCTTCATTATCGCTTCTAATGGCACACATATTTTCCTACCAAGAATGCTCAGCGCGAAACCGAAAGCCAGCCACCGCGCAAGTAGCTACCCTAACTATAAAATTTATAGTTTAGGAACTTTTTTTTGCTACGTTGAGCAAGCACATTTTACCAGGCGGCATAAAAATAATAAAAATGTAAAGTGCCATGAGAACGCATTCCTGTAATCCCGCGTAAACAGTGCCGCCATCGTTCACACTCTTTCCTTCAGCGTCGCCAGAGACAAGGCCCCCAGTTCAGATATCAGATATGACGTCAAATATATTACAATTAGTTGGCGTACGATAACACTACCCCTATATCTTTGACAACGACTGACGACCTAATGACATGTTTATCTTTAAGTTATTGCACAAGCACGCGGGAACAAAGATAAGAAACACGGACGGGTGCAATGAAGTTGTTGTGCCTGTTTTGGTTTTCACCTCTGTCTTAGTGTACTTGCGTAACAACTTCAAGATGAATATGTTCCAACTAGGCCGAATTGTGGTTTTGCAACACACATATCTGGCACGCCACTCTATCATGAGCAACGCTTATTCTTGATATCGAACACGCAGTCACCGCGGAACCTGCAATCGATCTGCCCTCGCCAATCTTCACCGTTTCTTCGCAAAAAACCGCAGCGCCTTCTAGCGTTTCTTCGCACTGACCTAGTTTTCAGCGCTGCCGATATTGCACCCTTTCTCGTCCGTGGCACACTCCACTAGCGGCAGGTCTTAGCCTCCAAGATTGCGCAACGACGCACATTTGCCGCGCGTGAGTCTCGGAGCTCGTGGGTTGACGTTCTCCATCTCCATTTGTCGTCACCAGGGTGAGCAACGAATCCAGTGGCGCGGCCATCCCCATGGGGGAGCAGGAATCCTCAAACACGTGTGCGCGTGGTGAGGGAACGGCGATAAAGGAGTGCAAGTTTGCGATTGATTGCATTTTTTTGTGGGAAACTGGGGCGCGCTTTGGTGGCCCAAAACCGGAGGTGCTCTCTCGTGACCCCGGTGGCAGCTAGACGGTTGGCTGAGGGAGCAGGTCAGCGCCCACGTGTTTCCGTGCCCACAATCTCAATTGTAACCCTTTCATTTTCTCCCAAATATATTTTTTCGTAGGCGCTCTTGGCTCATGCTTTTACAACATTCATCCTCTGTGCGTACTCCTCCGATTCATTACGATCCTCTTCCTGTTTTTGTGGAGTTAAGCTTTTTCTACATTCGAAGTACTAGTGTGTTCTTTATTTGTGATGATTACAAGTTACTTTGTTGATTTTCTATTTATTAGAGATACCATTACATGACCAGAAGTATATTATAGTTATGAATCTTGATGCAATAGGCAGATAGATAGAGAAAAACTTGGAACACACGTGTGTTTAGGCTACATTCCATCTCTTTCGGTACGTTCAGCCTGAATATTTTATCTCACGGAGATTTTTCATGTGAGTCTTCTCCTTGGCTATAGTGTTATCTAAAATAAGAACTTCATGTATAGTGGTCAAAGTGATTACTCCAGAATATCTTTCTTCTTTTTCTTTGCACGTTCGCGTGGCCTGCCACTGCAGAAAGTTTTGAAGCGTTGGTTTTGCCGATAACGTTGGATGCCTGTGTTTTTCTGTGAAACTTGTGTGTAACCAAGAGGATTTAGATCTGGTTGCGAAATAGTTCAGTGCCTGCACAGCAACAAAATAACACCGACAATTAGGCGAGTTCACACCGATGCTTCAATTTAGAACAACGCAACAAAGCAGACAAAAAGACAATAATCGCATGAACACAATCAAGCTCTGAACAGCAGAATCTAGATTGAAGCCGACAGATAAAAACACGTAGTAGGATAATCAGGGTGAACAGTGGAAGTGCCTCAGACAAGCTGGCCAACGTTTGGATAGAAGGGCCTATCTTTGTCAAATGCATTTAACAAAGATAGGTCTTCCTATCGAAACATCGGTCAATCTGTCTGAGGATCTTCCTCTGTTCACCCTGATTATCAGAAGTTCTGAACTGGGAATGTGCTTAACAGGATGTTGAGCCCATTTCCCGTTTCAGAAACTTTTAAATATATTTAATGGATAAATGCAGTGCATTTTGAGGTACAAGCATGAAATGTTCTATATAGTACGAAGAACTTTAAAGTATACTCAGAGCTCTCAGCTCTTAGTGTGTTACCATAGGGCACTACCAGGCCTAACCACTGCATTGCACGCTCACTATAGAGACGCCCAAAACGGACGTGATGACCCGAGCCCGTAAAGGCAGTGTTTAATTTTCTATGTAGGATATACTTGAGCCCAAGCGACGAGGGAAACCACGAGGAGTGCTGGCTCGAAATTCAACGTCATTCTTCAGTGAGGCACTGTCAGGTGAATAAAAACACTTCGGCATAAGCAATCCATGCGAGACCAGGACAGGAATTAGTCTGGAGTATGTAAGAATTATATGTGGTCTCATGAGCTTTTTTTTGTGGTTGGGGAAATATTGTTTTTTTTTTCAGACAGAATGGCTTCGTGGACTTACTAAAACTGAACAAAGTGTTCAAGAACTCTTGGACTTCAAACTGTGAGATGGCTTCTCCTTCAACGCGGAAATTTAGTACCCACGTCTCGGAGTTGGTTTTCGATTTAGCGAAATAATTTTTTTAATGCACCAAGTTTTGCTTTCATGTGGTTTTCTTTCCTTTTGATCCTATGGCATGTTCTCACGCTTTCGCGAGGGCCCACGTTAAAGGACACTTCAAACGAAAGTTTTGAAAAGTCCCTTTTAGAGCACGTGACACATGCTTATAAGAATAAGCATTTGTACCACAGTGCGTGTAGATGAAGGGCAAGATTTGTCAACATTATCCTTCTTGGTAGATAGAAAAAGGTTCGTGAGCGAGAGATGATAGATGCCTATTATATCTTAAGAAAAAAGTCATATCTATTAGCAATACGTCCGGTACCTGAGTTTGAACGTTTTTTAAGTTTTATTTATTTATTACCTGCATTGAGAGGCACCGATTGTTGTGGTGCAACACGTAATGTGTTTTGAGCAGGGGGGTATGGCGTTGATAGTGCGACGATCCTTCACGAATAAACTTGGCTACGTATCATTGTGCTTCAATGCAAATATTATGGAAAGACGATAGTCTTCTGCCGGTCTTTTTAGGGCATAGCTTCGCATTTTCAGTGCACTCTAACAACCACTAGGATTTTTAGAGTTATGTATCTGTGTGTTTTATAGTAAAGGAACATACCACCAATTAGTTAGTAATGATATTATGCCTCAGATATGAGCAATATTTGCTTTTTGATCGACAATACTCACAAGTATCAACACAGCCACCAGTTCAAGATGGGTCGGCGTTCATAAATGCTTCAACTTTAGTTGGGAGGTGCAGTTGTGACACAGACATACAGGAAAACAGAGAGACCAAAAATATCTGCGTTGAAGTATCCCAAGAAAAACTATCGCCTTTAAAAATGTTAGCTGCACGTGACGCTGTTTTTTTTTTTGCCCACCTTTAATGGTTCGCAACATTTAATTTTTCAGTAGCGTACACCAACGGCCTCAACAAGAAGTTGTACACAAAGAAAAGAAGCTGCGTGAGTTCGAGTGGCACCTGTAATTGGGCGAAATCATTGAGTACAAGAGGGATACAGTGGACCACGTAGAAGGCTAGCGCAGGTAAACGTAGCTCGCTACGAACGGTAAACTAAATGACAGTGTAAAGTGTCTGAAAGTAAGACACCAAGAGATGCAAAGACGGCATGAGCCCCCTTGTCAGCGTCCTTCCTAGCATTTCGAGTTGGTGGACATGAACCGAATCTGCCTGTTAATGCTAGCTAAGCATGCGTGTTCGCGTCTTTCCTTCTCCCATTCCACCTTGCAGAGAAACGCAAAGACTACAATGCACGCAAACCAGAAAAATGTTAATATAAAAAAGTTTTGCACCAATCACCGCAAACGCAGGCTTCGATTCACGCTACCAACATTTCTCAATCAAATTACTAAAGAACAGCTTTGTAACATTTCAAAAAATCTAAATAATTGAGCTAAAGAGTCTAGTTATAGCACTACCCTTAATAATTATTTGCCTTCGAAACATTGTCGATTTGCTTTTGTTTTGTTGTTGGCCAAAGCAAAAGTTTTTGAATGTTTCTTTACATTATCTTTGCAAGCATCTTCTTTTTTCTACGCACATTAGACATATGCATTTTTCTCTACTTGTGCATTTTTTGCCTGTTTGTAGTGATAATTCATGCTGACATAGCTGTATGGCGACCAGGACACCCTCAAGCTGATTGACTTGCTTTTTACCTCTTGTCTATTGCTACGGAATTTTCTTACAAATATACAAATAAATCAAATCAAAATCAATGTGTCCGTATCACTTGTAAAAAAAATGCATTAAGGACACTTTCGTTCACCACCACTGTAAGCATGTGTGTTCACGTTTTCCCCTTCTCGTATTTGACTCTGCAGAGAAACGCAAGAAGCTCTACTACGGCACTGACGTGATCCCCCTGCCGGCATGTCCCGTATCCACCAAGTCCGTGCCGGCCACCGGGGACGGAAAGGGCGCCGACGGGGGCGGACTTGTGGGGGCCACCGGTGGCGTGGGCGGCTCCATCGTCCTGCTGCCTTTCGTGCGCAGCAGGGCAGCCAGGGACTCCACTTACAGCAGCATGTCTACAGCCAGCAGTCGCGGAGAGGCGTCGGTCTACGTGAGTACCATTTAAACATTAGCACCACATTAATGTGACCCACCTGCGTCATAATTTTCTGTGCAGCACCTGACAATCTATTTATTAAATCATTTAGTTTAACTATCCCAGCTGTTCGTTCTACTAATGTCAACGGCCCCTACAAACTGCTTAATAACGGCTACTTACGTTATTGTTCAAACAATCTCCCATGTTTACTAGCCCTGTAGCTATTCTTGTCTGTGCAGCGGAGTGATCTTTGAACAGATATGAACATTTGCAGGTGTCGGCTGAATACGTCAGTAACAGCCCTATAAAGTAGCACATGTCAATTTCTCAAGGCTGAAAGACTAGACGGCCTTAAGCCATGCCATCGCTCGGCCGACGTTGATCTTTTGATGGCTCGCCGTACTTACAAGAGTGGCATGATCGAAAATGGTATATATAGCAACATTACTCTAATTGAAATCTCAGTAATGCCTTACACTTTAGCAGGCTTCAGAAGAGCTTATGTTTACTGTTCCATAATTTAAAAAACTTGTTGAATAGTATGTTTTCACACCAGTCTGCATTGCGGTGCCAATCACTCTGTAACCAAACTAGATTTCTATGAAGGAAGCATCCCAGCCTCTATATCATTAGTAATATTTGCAGTCAAACTTCAGAAATCTTGACGTCCTAAGCGACGGCGGGTACAAGATGTACTACTTTATTTTTGGGTCTGTCATACTGTAACTGCTTTGTTTCTTTGCGTTAGACGGTCAGATTACACTTGTTACGTGAAGTCCCTGCAAAGGTTTAGACATCTAAATGATCGCTTAACGCGTATTGTTTCTTAGTATTAACAATAGCCGTGTATAAATTCTGGGATAAACACCAAAACACGTTCATTTTGCGAGATTCAACCTCAAAGGGCTAGGGTATGTCAGTTTGGAATTTTATTCATTGAAGTGTACTGCAAGATGGTTGCATTCAGGTGTTATGAAGTTGTGGGTCAGCACAATCACTTGTGATACAATAGCTCAGCCACAGAATGAGTGTAGCAGTAAAAAGATTGGCCCCGTATCTGCATGTTAATCTGCAAATGTCATCGAAAGACGATAGTCTTGCGTGTGGAGAAAGTGAACAATTTAATTGATGTTCTGCGCAAAAAAAAATTGGTGAATGGTAATCTGGAGGCGCTGCGTTAGAGTGCCTCTAGCGTGCAGCGAAGGCGAACGAACGCTTCAAGTCACGTCACACGGGAGACACGAGCACCATCTAGCAGTTTTCTTGGAAAACGAAGCGCATGGCTCTGAGACAGGTGTGCGCGCCCGTATCACAGGGGATAAAGTGTAGAACGCAAGGCGACGGGTAGGTGCCACTACCGTCTCGTCTTAGCGAAGCGTTGGAAACACTCTTTTCGTGCAAGCGTAGCATGGTCAACGCCACGTGATAAGCACTACGGTCCTCGAAATTACTTATTTATGTCTTTTTTAGTGAAAGATGCACATGCAGAACATATACGTGTTGTTATGGTGCCTCAGACATGCGCAATATTTGCTTATTAATTGACAATTGCACAAGTATGAACGCTAAATCTTGAGCAACATTGGTGGGCGCTGCGGATGCAGTCGGCCGTTTCAAGTACCCGCTGCCGTTAAGAGTGGACAAACAGACAAATATACAGACAGAGAGACAGACAGACAGACAGACAGACAGACAGACAGACAGACAGACAGACAGACAGACAGACAGACCAAAATTTTTGCGTCGAAGGTCCGCAAGAAAGACTATCGTCTTTAAAAGAGAAATGTTATTTGGAAAGGGGTTCGAGTTTGTCATAAAGTTTTGATAACGAGAGGTTCTCAAATGCACACGTGTGCACTTCTATGGTTCTGGTGGCTCGTGACCATGTGGTGACCATGTGTGACGTGATAGTCACTAAATATTACTAAAATATAGCGAGTGTGCCCTGAAGTCCTTTGTAGAATCATGGTTCTATTTTTGCGCCATCGATAACATTTAGTAACAATATGAGTTACTTACTTCATCCACAGTGTATAAATTTTGCCATATTCCTACATATATTATTTGTGAATTCATCTTGCACCCCCCAGAAATTACTTTCTATTCTCGTATGTCAATGAAAACTTAAAACCACCGCATAATAGATACATCCTAGCTGTTGCGTTGATCATTTGTCACGTGTAATTATTTCTGTAATATACCGCATATGCAATATCCACCTAATGTGCAACATTTGACGTCTTTCTCTCTGTATATATAACGAGTAGCCACTTCTCTACGTGCGAAGTTTTTTCAGTTGTCAATAAATATTTGATAGCGTTGAAAAACGTGTATATTGTATGGGCAATCTATAACAGCAGCAACAGCCTTTTCCTGCTTGCAACGGCTGTTCGCAGAGTGACAATTCAGGTGACGTGGTTGGCAGTGCGGAAGGCCTGGAGGAGGCGCCGCCAATGCTGGGAAAGGTGACAATACTGCTCAAGTTCCAGCCGTCCTCGCCCACCGTGTCGTCATCGCAGGGATTTCCAGCTGGAAAACTCTTCATCACAATAAGGGTATGCCCTGTTCCAGAAAGGAGACTCGACCTCCCGTATTATTTTGTCGTGAAAAGCACTTGTAGGGATGATGGCTGTGGCCCCAGCTGAGGACTAAGAAGACCGAAATGGCAAGGATGAGCTCTTCTTTGTCCTTGTTTTGCGTTTACAGCCACCGCCATGACCTATCAACTAGCCAAGCCGCTACTACTCTGAGTGCTTTCACTCTAGTGCACTTGTGAATATGTAAGCGTACTGAATGCCGATCGATTGTGCGGTGCATGTTGAAGGGCTGACGATAGCAAAATGCGAGAACCAGCATAGCGCACATATTTTCGAATCTGGATTCTTGAGCCTTTCAATTTGATGAGTATCGTCCTCACTGCCCGCGTTCACGTCCGGGCAACATTAGTTCCTGAGCCACCTAAACTATAGCAAATTTTTCAATGTAAATGAAAACTTGCGTCGGCGCTTGAAACATCATCGTTTACCTCTACCCCTAGAGTAAGGACCAGAATTTAAACTTAGCGACTACTGTACACAAAAAAAAAACGACAGTGAGCAGCTCGCGCTGCACAAGGCTGCTGAGACCACACTACTTACAGATCCGCCAATATTATTTTTATTTGTACAGTATAGTGTCGACAAAAGTTACGAAATTGGTTTTTGGGAATCGTATTCTTATATTGAAAGCAATAGACCTAGAATACACATTTAGCAGTGGTACCTGTGCCCTGTTTGCCCCTACACCCACCGTTTGTGACCCGCCACGTTAGTCTAGTGGCTACGTCACTCGGCTGCACATCCACAGGTCGTGGGATTCATTATCGGCCGCGGTTGCAATGGTTTCGACGAAGGTGAGAAATCCTTGACGCCCGTATGCTTAGATTTCGGTGCACGCTAAACAACTCCGGGTGGTCTAAATTCCCGGCGCCCTCCACTATGGAGTCTCTCATTATCCTATGGTGCTTTTTGGTTGTTAAACACCAGCAAATATTAAAATTACCTACCGGTAATGAAGGACCATTTTTACTATTTGAAACTAAAATGACTGGCGCAAAGTTCTTAACACAAAATTGTTTTATGCCGGAGTCCTCCAATATTGCAGCGACGTATTTCCATCACGGAAATGACGTCTAAAATACGAAAGGTCAGAAGACAAAGAAAAAACCTCCATCAAATGAATTTAAATTAAGATATCGGTCCGCGACAACAGGTGCTGGGCACGCTATTCACTGTGCAAATACGCTTTTTGAATCTTCCACTGTCTTCTCATTGCGTTCTTGGTAAAGTGCAGTAATGCATCGTCACCCTGGTAACCGAGATTAGCTCCTTCAATGCTTTGTTTCTAAGTGTCCGTTCCATTCGTTACGTGCAACTTTATCAACGCCTTAACACACTCACAGGTGGTGACCTTACCCCAGGCGTCGGCGTCACTCATAGCATCCATCCATACCAAGCAGCTCTCGCTTTCATCTGGCCCTCAGGTTCTACCCGTGCGCTAGACCCGCGATTAATCGCAGCCGGACACAGAGACGACAAGTCATGCGTGGCATTTCTCTCTCATCGGGCAGTGGCATTCTCTAGCATGCCATGAATAGACTACCTTAGCCCAAGTGTGGTGCGCAATCAGTCAAAGTCTTCTGACTGTGGGATAGTTTTCTCTGGTTTTGCTCCCACAGAGGCATCTACAGCCACAAGGCTCTGTTATTCTCAAAAGGGGCTCTTTAACACTTTTTCAAGTAACCATGGAACGAATTTAGTGGAAAAGATCATTGCCTCGCGAATCCAAGGCCACAAAAACTTTAGGAATCCATCCAGTGCGAATGGAGTTACAAAGATTTGTCGCATGCTGCAGTTGCATTCGCTCTTCTTTCGTCCTGACGTAAGCGCAGAAAGCTAGGCAGGGACAGATGGCTGGCGCAAAGAGAATACTTCATGCGCGCCTCGAGGCCTTGAGCACTTTTTCTTCTTTTCTTTTTCTTCGATCGAATGCGCGGCTTTTTCGGTTTGATCGAGTGGGATCACTGGAAACGCGCGCACGCGTGAATAAGTCGCGTCCTCCCGCGGTGATATTTGTAACGACCGAGCGCATTATTTTCAAATCAGCCAATGGCTGATAGGTGGCCATTCTACGAGTGATTTTTGAGCGTCGTCTGTCCCCTGTCAAGAGAAGAGTAAGCATTTTTAGCTGACTTTGATAATTTATTGTGAATTATAGGACAGCTATAGCATAAATGCATTCACGCTATAGCTGTCAAACACCAGAAGACGTTGAGAAAGCTCTTTTTTTTTTATCAATGTACAGTAAACAATATACTTTGTTTACAAGGACACATTTTACTTCAAGGACACGTTTTACTTTCGTGTTTCACCAATTCACATGACGGAGAGATCAACCATGTTTTCTTTTTTTTTCAGTTCTTGTGAAACCACTGGAAATTAAATTTTCCACACTTCATTCCTTTTTTTACGCAAAAGTAGTTTGGTAGTCGCATAGGTTATTAGTCGTAAAAAGGACAAATTTATGTAGCACTTCAAGTTGGTCCATAATCTGAAGTTTAGATAAGAATCTGGTCTCATGTGGATAGAGCGTACCTGAACCGGGAAGATTGCTCGGAATGGCAGCATCACCAATGCATGGAGACCGAGGCCATACGAGAGAAAATCCACTTCTGAAGCCACAATCGATAATAGCCTGCAGTGTGTCATACTTTAATTGGTGCTCGCGACTGAACCCAAATTCTACATACGTATAACTCTCTCTTCCAACTCAAAAGCACGGGGTCTTAGTTGCAGATATAAATAGTACTCTTTTGTTTAGTATAAGTTAGCTCCACTATTATTGACTATTTAATTTTATTGTTCCTAAAGGCCGGTTTTCCTTGCGGCTCATTGCGACAAAAATGTTCGTGAATTGTCTGCAGCATCCACAAAAAGCACATATTAGTTTGAATGTAACTATTTCTAGCGCCACACTATGAAATTCAGCTAAATCAAAGAAGTCACACAAATGTGAGTTTCCTGACTTTTCGCGCATACAGGAGTCTTAATTTTTCTTATGCGAAACTTGAGAACTCATGCCTAACAAGTAAACACATTGATAGTGCGCATTTTTTTACATGGGACCTTATTGAAAGCTAGCATAATAGGGTCTCGGCTTTTCGGCTTGTCTCGTCGTCGTCCCGGTCTATTAAAAACGGGCATGCCCGACAAAAATTAGGTAAGTTCAACTGATCGCTACTGGTTTATGTACAAATAAAAGAGGCCGCAGTTAGCCTACGTTATAGCAGACGATGTATTAGAATTAAATTGCATGAATTAATAGAACTTTGTTAAATTCTATCTCAGAATTGGTTTCGAATGGCTAGTTTTCTGCTTTAGGATGCACTTCGTAGCACGTTGCGATGTGTAACACGAAAGCAACTTATGGCGAAGTTACTGCTAATGGGTCATGAGAGACATGAGAACAATAATAGGAAGAGGAGAGTAAGGAGGTCGAAGACGAGGAGTGGCACGTTACGGGAAGCAGCAATCCAGCGCAGTTTTCCGACAATGTTAGGGAAACTTTAACACCCCTCCCTGCATGCCCGATTTCAGGCCACTCCAGTGCCTCATCAAAGAAATCTAACAAAATATACCGGCGAACCATCTTGGTCAGGCACTTTCTAATTTCTCATTGCCCATCAGCAGCGATATTGCTGCGCAAAATACAGGTGAATGCTGCGTGTGCCACTCCTCCCAGGGTTTCACGTTAATGAAGCTGGGATACTCTTCCCTGTATGTATCGCTTCTCTCCAGTTTCTTATGATCTCTTCTCTATGAAAAAAAAAGCTATTTGTGCGCCGTTCCATCAGAGCAAGGACGCAGTAAGGGACAATAACGCTTCGTCTGCGAGTGGATACGCGTTCGAGTGTCGCGTCCGCGGAACTTTTCAGATGCGATACTCTAGTTTGTGGTTTTCTTGAATCGTTCGTGGGGCCAATAATTACGTTCACTCTAAAATTTATTTTTTATTCATCGGGTTACGGTTTGGCGGCATCGCACAGTCATTAGATCGTGCTTTACGGAATCTAAAAAAAAGAAATAATGCACGCGTAACAAGCTATGCAAGAACACCATCGATAATTAAACCTGAATCAAGTTGTTTTCACTAGAAAGCAGGCATTCTGACTCTGAGCCACCTACGAGCTGCTTTGCGCGGCTTATAAATGGACGCATCACGCAGACTAACGATTAGATGGACTCAAGCAGCTTGAGCTTGCTTTGCTTTATATTTTGAAGCTTATACGGAGCACTTTTCCTGGTTCTAGTACAGTTCACAATAGAAAAGATGTGGTTTGAAATATTGATTGACAATTTTCTTGGCAGTATTAGAAGCAGAACGGTCCTGACCAACTTCAATTTCTCGCATAATGGCAGGCTGAGTGGTATGGCAGTTAATAATTTTTAAAACGTACGAAAACGCAATCAAAATGTCTCGTAAATGCGATAATGTGCGTGCGTCTGACTTTTGCATGAGGATAAACATCAACGTACATAGGGAACAAGAAATCTAGGTACTCTCAAAAGGCCCTTGGATACTCACACTTTTGGGTTATTATGAGGGTTCCGTAAAATACGTAGTTATCGTGCACTAATAAAGCTGAAAAGTAACAGAAAAATGTCCGACAAAGAACAAGAATATCTTTGATAGCTTTTGTTTAAACATTCAAGCAGGAATCAGTGAAAGAGCACTCTTTTTATTTATTTATTTATTTATTTATTAGAATACCCTCAGGGCCCGTAGGGCATTACAGAGGGGGTGGGTACAACATATATGACACACAAGAAAAAAAAAGACTTTTTTACATTGACTCGTAAGAGTCAATGTAAAAAATTTGTGAACCATTTCAACTCATACAATGCGTGCTATGAGCAATGTGAAAGTAATGGCTCATAAATTATGCCCAGGTAATGACTGGTTTCCTTGAGTTTTTTCTGAACAAAATAGAAAAATTTCACGCCGCATAAAAACACGACTTATATGCCTGCCATTTCGGAGCTTTCTTCGGGAAGTAATAGTTTTTAATACTGTATCACAGGAGGCGCAGAACCTTCCACCTAAGCCCCACGGTGTCGTGTGTGACCCGTACATTACCTGTAAGGTAATAAAAGGCCGCATCAAGAAGCCGCGACGTGGCAGCGCCGGCCTTCGGCGGCCCAGCTGCATCAGCCTCGGCAGCTCGGGTCACTGCCTGGGCCAGTACCAAACGCAGACCAAGCGCAAGACGCAGAGCCCCCTCTACAATGAGACCTTTTCGCTGGACCTGGCCAGGGGAGAGTTGAAGGACTCGTCCCTTTACCTGGCCCTTTACGACATGGACAAGGTAAGACATTCATCTCAGTAATACCTACCTGACATAGCTGTTCGGTCTATTTTAATGGTGCATAAATAACAGGGGTACGTAAAGAGGCTTTCAATTTTGCCGCCACTACGTCATGAAAATAAATGCCTCATGGTTTCATTCCAGCTGTCAGTTCCCGCGAATGAGCAAATTCATGAATTTGCAGGCCAAAGATGAAAAAGATATGATGGCGGTTTTTCCCTAAACGCGTAATTTTAATGATAAACATGCTAGATGAGGAACCTGCCACGCTGGCACTTAAGCTTGGGTTTTTCAGTGATATTTCGCTGATAAAAATGCAAAAAACATGACTAACTTCACCATGGGAACTATTGTTGCATGTAGTGATACTTCTGAGACTTCGCTCTGCTGAAAATCTTGCTCCATTGTTTTAATACATTCATTACCTTGTAGTTGTGCATGATTTGCTGCTAATATGTTCTTTAGCAGTTGATTATCTATTTAAGTATAATTATTACAAATAGCACACTAAAAAGAGCACAATACTTTAAATTGATATCTTGCACTGTTTTGTAGGAATCAAGAACCATAACTTTTATGCTTCAGTCAAACGTATTTATGATGTAATGTTTCATTTTAGCACAACAAGAATTCAGAAACAGACTTTCACATAGGTCACACTAATTAGTACACTGCATTGCTAGAATATGCGTTAATACAGGAAATAGTGTTTATCAGTTGAGTACAAGCACAAATGAGACAGTCAACAAATTAAATTAACGGCTAATAAAACAAAATATTTCTGCAAGTATATTTTGTTTTGCCATCTGGTGCACCTAATTACACACTAAGCTATGAATTTTCTAAGACAAAGCAGTTTATATGTAGTGCATCAAGAAAGTAGCTGACAGAGCAATTATGATGTCCCTTTTTTGAAGAAATGTATTGTATAGCGGCCGTCGTCTTGTGAACTTTAAAAACAAGTAGATTTGGGCGCCTTGGCTCATCTTTAATATAAATTGAAGAAGTGTGAGAAGATGAGGTGGGCAGCTGGAACGAACCACAGCAGAGAAAGACCAGTGGCTTCAACCTGCAGCCAGCGCCTACTACATTGTGGTCATTTCTTGCTTCTATGATTGCCGATTCACACTACTTAAAGTTATACTGCCAAAACACGTTCCAAGGGCCAAGTTTTTATGTCATTTCATTGGTTTCACTGTCTTATAATCTTAGCTGATGTATTTACCTCCTTGATTTATTGCTCTCCAGTCCTATGGGAAAGGCCTAGAAATTACCAATACTGCTCCTCACCTACACTATCTTACATTGACAGCTGTATCAATTCCACTTTTGCCCAGTGACAGCCCTTTCGCTTGATGCCAGCTTAACAATTTTTTTCTTCATTGGCTGGACTCTCTTTCGATGGCGACCTACATGGTGCTGACGCTCGTAAGCTGGACAGGCATGTGATGGTAGGCCAACAATTGGTGTTGGTGCTCATCGATTAAATTCTTCAAAAATACATGATTAAAATATATACTTGTGCACATAAGATAATCCGATTCCTGTCCTACCATGGTTGCTTAACACTGTCCACATTTGATCATAAAATGACGTCTTGAACATTTCAACTAAACATTTCATGCAGTGTTCCAATGACACCGAAGTGGGGGAGGCGATCGTTCCCCTGAAAGAAGTCGACAAGTTGGTGGAAGATCCCACAGATCACATGCTAGAATTGGAGCTGAAGGAACCTAAGCAGGTGAAATATTTTCACAGCGTACTAGTTTGAGTTATGTTTATAATATGGTATCTATGGCGCGTCTTCGGCTGCCAAATCTCTTGGTGCATGCACCATCGCATTGTCTTTCCTTCAAAAATATGCTTATGCTGGTTTTTCCATGCGATCTCGAAGAAACTTGTCTGGAGTGTTTTTCCTAAACGCAGTAGGCAAGCAAGAATGTTTACAAAGAATACTTCGCTGCAGTAGGAACCTGATAGGGTGAGTGGGGGGTACATACATAGTGAATATTAGCGTCTCGAATTGGGCTGGTTGATATAGGGTACACTGATTTTGAAAGAACAACAATTATTCTTTTGTTCGTGCTGTGGGTGCACAAAGGAAAGAAAGAAGTCAGCATTATTGGAGTGTTCATCTATTCACTGTGCGAAATTTATTTGTTTTGACTAATGGCAACATTGATTGGCTCTGTCAATTCACGAGTCTTCTATCGTCAATGCTTCTATCAAAAGTCGCAACGATGTTGTCCTTCTACTAATGTGTCGTTAGACACACTGGCCATGTTTCTCATCGCAATTTTTGAGACACCTCGTCAAGATTAGAGCTAACTAATAAATTAACTTCAAGCAATATTGTCTAAAAATTGCGCCTCTTTTTTTTTTTATAAAAAATGTAATAGGTCTGTGCTGCGTACATGCCTCACTTGTGTGCTAAACAAGATGCTCAATGAGCTGTATCATTGATTATTCTATTCACTCACTGGATCGAGGATGCAAATTTCAAAAACATTGCCATGGTAAAGACAGGATCTCATTTAATGCAGCTATCTCCGTGGCTCAAATTGTGAAATTTTTGTATGTCATACGGCAGCTGCCGTATGGCATACAATAAGTTGGAGCTATCAATACACAACTATAATATTCGCACTTGTTAACTACGATGATAACGCTATCTATAATACTTACGAGGAGAGGCCAGCAGTTGTCTATTTCTTGTGTATTCACAAATTACAGAAAATAATGCTGGAAGTAGAGTTCTCTCAGACAGCATAAATAAAAATGGTATAATCACATCGCATGAAAAAACATGCCCATGTAGTCATGAATATTGCGACATTCCAGAACTGAAATTGCGAATTCCATTTTCTGCTCTGCACACAGTACAAGGGAGAGATTCTGTTCGGGCTGAGCTACCTGCCTACAGCCGAGAGGCTCACTTTTACCATAATGAAGGCCAGCAATTTGACATCGCCCATGAACAACCTGGAGTCTTTCTGTAAGTTTAAGCACTCTTTTTTACCTGATATACTGAGGATATTTTTAGCTTGCACTTTAGATGCACGTATCTCTGCTTACTCCATCTGTATATTTCCGAGCCTTGCTGTTATACTCGCTTATACGTTTGTATGAAAAAAATGATCTGAATAGAGGGTTGAACATGTAAATTAATTAGGAATATTGCCCTTATGTGAAATAGTACATGCTATGTGAGGAACGATTTCACCGAAGATGCCCTGGACCATCAATACTTATGTGCTATTCACAAAAATTGAAGCCATCACTTTCTTGGGCTATATCAAGTCTTTGCCTTGGTTGAACACTACTGAACGAAGAGCACTTCTTTTTACCTATGAAGTTACGCTGGCATCTTAATAAATGCCTAACTAGAAAACGCAACACACGGAATCTGCCTAACTGAACACAGCAATTTTTTGTGAAGTGCTAGTTGTGCTCCAGTGTTTAAGAACGACTTGTCTAGTTATTTTACCAGATTTTCAGCTTGACGTTTGATAGCATAAAGCCTGCTATATTAGAAATGGCTAGATCTAAGAGCAGAAAGGCAGCTCAATTTTTTATACATGGCACCTATGTTTTGCGAGGCACTGCTTAGCTGCTATGCTTTGCTCCTAGTTTTGAATTACATTTTCATACAATTGGGAATAATATACCGAGGGCTTAGTTGCATTAGGAATGTCAAGTAACGATCTGTGTGAATGAAACACAGATTAACAATTTTAGAAATTTTTTGTATACAACAGAACAACAATATTTGCAATATTCAAGAAAGGGCCACAGATTTATTTATGCATGCATTCTCTTTTATGAATTAAAAAATAACGCAGTCTTTCAATACAAACACGTTACAATAATCATTACTTCTAAAATGGCCGACTACTTTTGCTGCGGCCAATACACGCATACAGAGAGCTTTGCAGAAGTCTTATAAGGCTACTGCAAAAAGACTTTTTAAGTGTTTTCTAAGTTTAAAAAAGAAGCAAAGAAGCCTTTTTAGCTTCTATTTCCACATGGAAGTGTGTGAAAATACAAGCTAGTTTCTTTACACTTGCTCGTATGGATAATACAAACGAGCGAAAATTCAGCGTTAAGTTGGCCGGAGTTCAGTTGGGTGAACTTTTTTGTACTTCAAGGAAATAAATGATGTTGATTATACATCTTGGGTGTGTTTTTTAATTTAAATCTTTGACGTAAAAAATTTCGCATTGAATGCCATAAGGGCCTGTATATATCAGTTTTACTACTTTTTGATCAAATAGTAATACATTTAGCGAGAAGCTTAAGCAAAGCCTTTGGCTTATCGAGTACAAATTGCTAGAGAAAGCCACAAGGCTAAATTTTATTTTAAAACTGCAACAATGAAAACAAATATATGCATATAAAAGGAGACAATGAGAAGAACAGAGAAGCTTGCATGCAGCATTGGCAGTGAAATAAGTGCAAAGTTTTTCGAACATAAGGGTCAATATTTCACTAATTTTTTTCAATAATTTGGGAAAATGAATGTGTTTGACACCCACATCAACATTTATTGCCAACATGGTGCTGCTTTTTACACAACGAAACTTGGCCTGATAATACCACACATAAATGGGGCATTGAAACACAGAATTTTAAAGAAATCGCGTAGTAAATAGAATTTTTTTATCCTCCTCTGGAAATTGGGTCACCATTGCACCTGGTCAGAGGCGCATGAAGAAATAAAATTTAAGTCCCAATTTTTTCATTGGAGCATTCCCCCTCATAGCTTTCCCACCTGAATGTCATCCCGAGATGTCATGAACTTGAAAGGTTTTTTTGTAGTTTCGCCAAAAGGACAATAACCTCATTGGTTTTGTCATGTTAAGTCCTCAGGTCTGAAAACAAGCAAGCTATACAATTAACAATTATCTCCCATTGATTATGAAGGCTCTTACAAGCATATTTGAAACGCACATTGTCGCTGCTAATCAAAGAGAAAACATATATCCATGGTCGACACTTGTTTGTGTGATTCTTGTGGTACTTTTAACTTTCTTTCTCTTTCTGGTAGCTTACTGAAATTTATCACTTTGTCTCCTTTTTTATTCTTTTATCTGTCTTCTGGCTTGCTAGAATGCTTCTTGCGGGAGGAGCAATCTACCAGTATTCGCAAAATGTCTTCTCCTTTTATTCTCGTCTTAACGTGTCCTTGCTTGTATTCTATGTCGCAGATCCGTGTGTTCGCGTGCTCCTGTTCCATAGTGGGAAGCTTCGCAAGAAAAAGAAGACAGCCGCCCAACATGCTACGCTTTGTCCTGTCTACAACGAGTCGCTGACGTTCGACGTGCCGCAGACTGAGCTGGACAACGTTGTCTTTCTGGTCGTGGTCAGCCACCGGGACCCCTCCCAGACCGTTTCCTCACCAGAGTCACCCACGACTCCCGTGGCCGGAGCCCCGCAGCAGCACGTCGGCAAAGTGATCGTCGGAGCCTGCGGCCGCGGCAGCGTACTCCACCACTGGAACGCCATGAAACAGAGCCCGCGCAAGCAGGTCACCCAATGGCACACGCTCCGGTGAATGGACACGTTTCGCGCGGCGAGTGCAGACTGGTATGGACTAACTTGTGTGGACATTACAGGAGGGAAAAAAGGCAGTGAGCACGTTGAAATATCTGAAGCGATATTTGCTTACGTGCAAACACCAGAGTTACCCTGGGGCAATCGCACTCCTCGCATGTGCTTCGAAATTGTTAAACCAAGGCAATTGATCTGCACAATTTGGAGGAGTGGCCATCATAGGTGCACGTGCACTTTGTGAGCGACATGTCAGTGGTGTTTTAATAGCACATATGATTAGGTAGAAAGAAACCCTCTGATGGATCTGAATATACACAGGAATGGCAATTGATGGTATTGTGAAAATGAAACTGGTACTGCGATTTCCTTCCAATACCCACCCACTCCTGTAGTCTTGTACGATTACTCATGTCCCTATTCCTGTTGGAAACTGACTGAGAGCATTTATGGAGGCTATCAACTGTAGTTTACGAGTCTCATAAACAATGACAATGTGGCATTGTTTGTTTCCGAACTTAGGATGCCGTCTTCATTGAACAGCTGGGAATTGAGTCACCCAATGCCAGAGACAAACTTCCTACATTCGTTAACCAGTCACAGCATGCCGTTTGTTGCCATCCTGGTTTATTACGGTTCATTTCCTTTCAAAATTCAGTGTATATTGTCAGACTTGCATGCCAGCACGACCGTTTCGTTTGGAGAAAAAAATCCCCGAGTTATTAGACAACTTCCGAGTGCACAGCTATATGTTCGGCATAAAATGCACTCGATTTTTTCACTTTGGAGTGGCGTGGTGGTGGAGACAGTCAGAGAGCAGTAGTAGCGGACGATACCAAGTAGGAAGGTACATCGATTTTCTGTGGAATCCTTTCTTCGGGGCAAGAGCGTTCTCGCTATGAAATGACCATCATAAGAAGGAAATTGTTACGAACTTCAACTCGGGTCTCCATTCCAATATAAACTTATTTCTTTATACGCAGAACACATCACTCTGGATTTACATAAACCACAAGGAGGAGGAATAGTGGCAGTTTCATCTCATGACGTTGCTTTATAATTCACACGAAATAATTGTCGTGTAATATTTTGTCACTGTCCACGTTTTTTGGCGTATGTTGACATGCAGTAACTGTACTATCGTTCATTTTAATTACTGTAGTCACAAAGTTGGGCTACTATGCTCAAGAAGGCGTATTCGATTCCCAGCCGTCGTGACTGCTGTACTATTTGAACTAAACACAAAAAGAAAAAAAAACTACCTTGTACTTCCACGTCAGTGCACTTTACAGTTGTCCTCAATTAATTTTGAGTCCTCTGTTGTAGCATGACTCCTTATAATGTATTTATTTTTCTACGCAATACCTGAGAAAAAAACTATCATTAACCATACTTAGAAAATTAGGGAACTGTGAAATTTAGACAAGCAGGTTGGCTGCTATCTGTCTCAATGCTTATCAGCTCTCGCGAACAGTTTCATTGATAGGTAAAATTCGGGCAGGAAACTTGTAGTGTACAAATCATATTCTTTGAAAAGTTTTGAAGAAATCGCAACCAGCGAAGCATTCCCCATCCTGTGTGCTAGACTATAGGCCAACTCTGCACTAGTACACTAAAGTGGTATTCTAAGCGAGTGCTCAAACTCATGGCCATGAAAAACCAATTTTGGAGAAACAACTATAAGCGGCACTATATCTACATAAACTATGGCATTTTTATTGGCTATGTATGTTTTATGCTAGGATCGATTTTTGAAAAAAAAAGTGCATGCAATGTGGTAAAATTTAGTCAACATGGACGTGGCATCTGTTATGTATATACAGAGATGTACCTCTTAAAAGTTCAAATTTGGATAAAATACTTGATTTGTGATACTATACTGACTGTTTTTTAATCTCGAAGACTTATCACTTTTTACTGTCTAGAAGTACCTCAGTTCCGTTGGGAGGGGAACTGATGAAGTTGTCGTAAAAACGCGACACAGTTGATCAGCAAAGGCACGTTTGAATTTTTTGCTTGTGCTCCTCCTCATATGCACTACTCGAATAAGAGGCAAAGGAACAATGAGTTGTTGTTTTACGGCATATTTATTGTTCAAGAGTGAGAATCCAGGCTTGACGTTCCAACACTACAGCATGATGCTTTGGAGATGTTATAGTTCCTTTGTCTACATGTATGCCTCATAAAAGTACCTCCCATGAAGTAATTGTTTCCTCCTTCTCCTTCCTAACTCATACCACAAAAAATTTAGGACATAGTTGGTAACATTCTGCATGGTTAATTGGGGCTACAGGCATGGTGAAATATTTTGTGAAACCCTTTATTGAAGACCCAAGGTTTATGACACAGTCATCGTGAGCTTCGGTACTAATTGCTGATGCTGGAAATGCTAACTAGTGACGTTTTGAAATATCATTGAAATATCTGTGCTGCCTTGACACATGTTTTTTGTCCTTTGGATGTCCTTTTTCTTCAAACAATAACACTCCCGTTTCGTTGCGGAAGAAGAATATGTTTGATGTATAGCTACCTTCCCCATACACTGTGCTCGCATGACAGGGATGTATTCTCGCTGTGAAACATCCAAGTCGACACAAGTTGACAAACTTTTCATATTCTGCTAATGAAGTTTCTCGCATGTGTATACTTGTACACTTCTTTTTTTGCATGGGGCAAGTGCATCTAAGCAAGCAAGTTTATGGTATTGCAAGAAGTATATAAACAACTGAATACAGAAATAAATTAGTAACAATTGCCTGTGAAAAAACAAGTGGAAAACACTGAAAATATTAGAACATTTTTTCTCTCACAATTAATAATATCTGAACTTCTGTGACATCTACAATATAATACTATTTTAATGTTAATTTGCGGAAACAAAAGTTCAATTGGACACTTCCTCGCGATTTTCAGATCAAACTGCAGAAACGTTTACTTTTTTTGTTGCTTACCACTAAGGCACCTGAACTCACCAGCTTTATGCGTAAGAGGGGTTTCAGTGGCGGTTCTTTAATTTTGTCACAAGGTGCCTATTTCAATTGTAATCTGCAGTTACATTTTTAAAAGGACCTTTATGAGTGTTTTGCAGCTTGTTGTGCCACCAGTATTTCTGGTGCGAATAAGTTGCTTGCCATGGTCAGGATTTATTTCTCGCAGCTTTTCCTTCACTTGTTAACATTTGCACTGTTGTTGAAAGGAGATGGAAAAATGATGTCTCACACAGTGAGAATTGTAATTCTGTTTTGTAAATGCCAGTGTTGGATGTTGGATAGCATATATTTCAAGACGGACTCCTGTAAACTTAAGAGGCTTTTCTCGCAAAGTCGGTAGGACCTGCGACCATGGATCTGTCAAAAGTCAGATAAACAGGATGTACTCGTTAGAGATGTTTCCCATTTCGTACAATAGTTCTTCAGTTAAAATAAATATGGTGTCTGGGCTTCTTATCTCTTTATTAATAGCACTGCAAGTGCCACGGTCCAGACACACAAGTTTTTAGGGGAAGGTACATGCTTATATTTCGCATTTCTGCTCTTATGGCATACCTTTGTCCACTGCAGAATTCACAAATTTTTTGTGATGCTTTGCCTAGTAACAAAGTAGTTTGGACCTGTCAATTTTAGTGCTTAGATCAAACATTTTTTAAAAGAGTGATATCTTTTGTCGAAAGTATTGTGATTCAAAGCTTCCATAAAATGGGCCGCCTGTTAAGTTGTAGAAAAAATTATTTTTGAAAAAACTAACTACTGGCTAGTTTGCTAGCATAGCTATAAGCAGGCAAATAATACTGATATTTCACTATTCTGCAATATCCTTTACTTTCCCCCAAACATATTAGATTACCTAGCTGTATCATTCTCTGTTAGGACTTCTAGGCATTACAATTACTTGAGATGCCTTTTCAGCGAGCTACCCATTTTACTGAAAAGGGTAACAATGTGGTTTCAGGTAATTACAATGCATATAGTTGTATTTTAAATGTTGTTTTTCATATTAATTTGTAAACCACTTTCTAAACTGAGCGAAACTGAATCACACAACCTTACCTGCATTTCACATTATACATGAATAATGTTTCCCACTCACGGACAAAACTTGTTAGCTATTTATGACATTTTTTGTACAGTGAGGTCATCTCACGAGATATCTATTTGAAAAGGTGCTATCAATCCACGAAGTGTTCACGGCGCTTTGCTAGTGTAGCAAGAAAAAGTCTTTCCGAAGGCATATCTTCATGACAAGGTAGATGACGGCTGAGGGATGGCAACGACGCGTCCAGTGGACCAGCAAAAAAAGAATATATAATTTTAAAATAAATATGCTTCCAAAATTTGCTGGAGATAACAATAACAACCTGTAGTAGTAAGTTATGATTCGGTATTTGTCTCGATCCTATTCAAACAATAAAGTGTGTGTGTTATTTATTAAATATCTGAAATAATTACATTTAAATTATTTTTATTGCATTTATTTCTGGCGGTACAATTACTGTGATATGAAGCCCCACTTATTATTTTTCTTAATTATTTATAGCAGCAGCTTCCAGCACAAAACATGTATTTATAAATATTTGCAATTCATAATGGCCCTTAAAATAGAAATAATGCCTATTCTGGGTGCCCATAATGTAAATAACGGATATCACGTATAAAGTTTTTGTGTAATAGTTTTTTTTGCTTTCAATAAAGGACTACTTGCTAATGAGAACAGAGTGCCTATTTCACTCTGTAACAGGGTTGAAGAACCACAGAGCAATTCCAACTGAAGGGAACGCTTATCACTCATTAAACCCAGCGCCGAATAACGCAAGCAACTGGAGTAGTAAACCTAAACTAATAGCTAACATAAGAAATGTAGTAGTTTTCTTTCATAGTATACAAAGTTTCTAACGCACACACATCTTTCACTTTTTCAATACAAATTGGCAATTGAGGTTTGTCTGGTCATGGTGGTGTTTCGAAATGCTGGGCGACGTTTTGAAATAAAATTACATATATTTTATTACAATTAAGCGACATTCAATATCACGGCTCGGTCACTCAGTGTACATCTGGGATCACTAATTGTATCCATAAAAATATTGGTTCTTTTAGGTTTTTTCTAAGTTGGGCACGTTGTATATATCAAATTATTGTAAAATATTAAGGAAATACATTACATCTACACTTCAAAGGGGTGAGCTGCAACAGACAGCGTATTTTTATCTAGAATAATAGAACGTCCGTGAATTTTGAAGTATTAGCGATATCTCTGGTCAGTGCTATTTTTATACCAATGCCCACGAACTACATTCCATTAATGAAAACAGTAAATGGCTTTCCGTGCGATGGAAACTCCTACACAGAAATTTAGTTCAAATAGAGGCATTGCAATAGCACAATATTTTTGCTCTTGGCTTAGAAGATATTTGAAATCACAGGCAATTTCAGACTACCAAGTAAACTGGCGTAACTTGTATTGGCTGAACGATCGGTGTCTCAATAATCAAACGGTAAGTTGGAGCCCATCGGTTGTTTATGGTAAGAAAATATTGTCACTTTCCCCGTAACATCATTCCCCGCAACAATATTAACGAATATGCACAAAGCGGACAGTGCTTAAAGCAGCAAAGATGCACTGTTTTTTATACAAAAGCATGAAATGCCACATAGCCAACAATTGTATTAATATAAGTTTGACTTGCAAAGCAGCAAATAGATACATATTTTTTTCCCTGTAACGAGAACTTCACATATTGGAGAATGAAATTTATAAGACAAGGACAGGCTGATAGCGATCCGTCGCGCCCCTTCACTTAGGTTGATTTTATTATTCTCTGTAGAAGCCTGTTCTAGCATACCACACGTCTTAAAGACGGTTTCTGTGTGCTCAAGCTGCAGTGTAATTTTATTGCTGGCGCAAATTTAGTAAGCGCCATGAACGATCTAACAAGTCCTCGTGAAACATAACGCGAACACATTGAGTGACACATGCTGAACTAATTTATTATGACAGAAAAAAACTTTGTTGCCAATGATTTAACTCATATGTCAAGGATGTTGTAATGCAAAGGTGCATTTCAGTGTCATGCTTGCACTGAGCTAATTATTCCAGGCTATTTTATGCAATTTAAGACTACTCAGGAACTATTTAAAATAACGATCTGGTGACTAATGTGTTTTAGTAATTCAAGCTGTCTGAAACTCTAACGCTCGGTTGTTTGTTTCATTTTGAGAAATATTCTTTGCACCCTGTGACGCGTGAATTATAACTTGCTAAAAATGTTTTCATTGATTTTGCGTCGGTAGACACCAGGTAAAGAAAGAAGGCCCAACAACTAGGAGCCCAATTCACAAGCAAGACAAAACGTTTAGGTAAACAGGATAAAGGTGCATTCGCAGAGAGCACAGAATGATTAAGACCACAGCTGCTAGATTATTACGATGACGTACATGGCCATTGTCTTCAGATGTGAAAAATTGTGCTAACATCAAAGTTTCTGACACTTATCTCCTTTAGATACAGATGTATATTGCTAATGCGATAAGGAAGTGCACTAGTTTGTTCGCTAGAGATCCAGGACACACTTATTTAAAATGCAGTGCGTGTTCGTACCGATTTTCATGTGACTGTGATAAGACAAAAATGTGCATTTGATTCGCGGTAGAGCGAAAGTGAGACTGTTAGTTTTTTATAGAGAGCGTAGATGCCATATTTATTGCGAGTGTCAAACACACGTAGCCTTTGGCCCGCAGTGATGTAGATTTCAAGATTGGGACTCGGAAAAGTCCATTTGTGCGTTTCTCACGCAGCGTTTTACTGGAGATTGTGTATCTCTAAAGCTTATTTCTTTTTAAAGCACTTCATCATTTGCCCATCTTTTAACCTCTCTAAGGACCCTTTTATTGTGCACTTTATGTTACCAGAGGGCCTGATGTCCGCAAGCACAGTTGCGGTTGTTTGCATTGCATATCCAGCTTAAGTGAAGCCTGGCGCTTCCTGAAAGAATGATAGCTTGAGGCGTCTTTCTTGAAGGCTAAGTGCCGTCCTTCATATCTGCATAATCACTCTTTCCACATATCTCTGGTGTATGTACTCGTTGTTAGTAATATGTGCATTTCGGAAATATATCCTTGCTTTCAAAACCTTGTTCAAATGCCTCTTTTTGAACGTACTGTACATGTAGTGTCTTCAACCTTATGTGACGACATGCCTTGAAATAAACGTGAGCCGACATTCTCCTGGAGATGCTGGCATATGGGTAACTGTCTGTACATTTTCAACTGTCTCAGAATAGTCAATATGAGACAATAGTACCTGTATTTTATTTAGTAAAAGATGTTAAACAATCGTAGTAACTCCTCCCAAGTCAAGTATCCACATATAAGCTGTAAGCCTACAGCGCTAACTTTTCTAAGCTATCCTTCATTCTGGTTAACACATAACGAATGATTGGGCCGCACGAATGCGTGGTATATCTTCCAACGGTGCGCACTATCTGTTGAAAGTACTTCAAGCTTACTTGAACTTGTGTCCAGCAATCAAAGCAATCAAAGTTCATAAGAGATTTTTCGAAAGGGTGCCTTATACAGTTTCAGTTAGCGCACTTCTTTCTTTCCGAAGCAAAGAGAAAATGGCAAATTCACTGCTTTTGTATCAGAATGTATCCCAGCTTACTTTAATCGTCCCACAATATTTTCTTAGTTTTACAAATGCTTTTTCAATTATAACGTCCGAGAGAAGAATGAGAGCTACAGCTTTCTTTGTCAAGAAGCAATCTCGAAGGCATATCGTCACATTTTGTGTGTTTTTCTATTTTACTTCTATAGCACTGTAACATGTTGCCACGTATGCTATGTGAGCGCCTGTATGTTGTATGATCCTATCTACATAGTGTACTTACCATTCGTCAGGACTTCTTTCAGAGTATTGCATGTTGAATGTTCTTCGGCGTCGTTGTACCCTATGGATGTATTTGGTGTTCTCCAATGGCCAGTTTTATTCTGTAACCTTTGTCTCTGGATCTTATTTCCCCATGAAGTGATCAAGGTGCACTGCTCTGGCACCTTCAGGCACATGTCGGGGTGGAACGTATTCAGCGGTGAAGTTATTGTTTCTAGAGTTGTTACAATTACAGGTACATTGAGCCCCAGTCTCTATTGTTCGTTATCATCACCAACCCTCACTCTACGTAACACCTCCCCACACATTGAGTGAACGCCACTGCGCTGCGCAATATTTTCTACAGAATTTGGTACATAGCAATCGACAGCAATGTCGTAGATTATTAGACCTCATAATAGATCAGCTGGTATTTTCGCAGGTATTTTATTGCCTACAAGCCTTGGCACTAAGAATGAAGGTCATGTTCCCAACTTACAAAGGGCATCAAAGTTCATGTGCAATATGGTTTAACTAGAAGATGCGACAGCAACAAAGAACTATTTGTCATACCTCGAAGGAAGATGGAAATTTGGGTCCTTTAGTTATCGTTCCATACTTCATAAAGGGCCACGGAAGTGTAGTTTCGATTTTTAACCTTTGGCTTTTTCAGGACGAGTTTTCCAAGGAAGGATGCCCGTGGGAGCTTTGTCTGCGGTGTTAGATTCATTCCGAGTGAGAGAATTGTATCTTCAATATTTTTATTTGACTGTGCAACCTTGCATAATCTGAACCTACTCTAAAATCAAGGCAAGCAAAAGAAATATTCCCTGCCTCTCGGTAATATTTGCGTGTGTTTTTTTTTATTATGTCGTGGGCATTCGGCTGAAAACCAATCGTAGCGATAAAAATACAGAATTTACACATGATTTTTCTTATCTTGAAAAAGCAATATCTAGAGCATAAAAATCTAATTTTTATGCGAACTCTTTGGCCCAATGCAAGTTTTAAAATAATATTTAATTAGAAAAGACAAGTAAGTCATTTAATATAATTAAGGAACTGCATCTTCATGTTCCCTTAAAAAGTAAGAATAGTACATGGCACTATAAGTTCACAGCTCCTTTTTTCAATGCAGTGCCTCGTCCAGGCGCTGTAGCTCACGTTGTTATTCCTTCCGTGCTTGGTATGGTTGAAGGTTGGCTAACAGAGCTACTAAAATTGTTTGCGTATATCAGAAGTAAATTCAAATTTAGTTATTTCAAGTTTGAATTGAAAACAGGAAAGTTTGTCTTTTTTATTATCAACCCTGCCTACCGCTAGATATTTTATTTTACATGGTATATAAGCCTTACAGATGGCGGGATTGAATGGCTATAGTTTAGATGAGCAAAGCGTTCACTATTCATTGCCGGTTTTTAATGTGTTTTCCCCATGGCTATTTTCTTTTTTTTTTTCGTAAATATGCTCCTATTATTATGAGGTTTAACCTACCCAAGAGGGTATGCGAAAAAAGAGTGGGTTAAAAATATATGAGAAACCTCGCCTGATCAACGTTTTTTTTTATTATAGTATTTGCCCTATTCGCGCCTTTATTTTTCTACCGGCTGTACACAAAAGCATCACGCCTGTCTGTCATTTCACTTTCGGCAGTAAAGCGGCATAATTGAAGATGCAAGCAGTACCTGGAGTATTTTATTTCCTGGCTCTTCTCTCAGGATGAAAAGTGAGATGACTGGAAATATATAAATATACATTATATACATGCATTTATTAACTCCTATTTATTAACCTTGACGCCAAGTAGTTTTGGAATGTACGATATAATAAAATGATGTTCATCAAAGTTCAAAGGATTGTGTTTTATTCTGGTTACTCGAGTACACAGGTAAGCTGAACGAAATTTGTCTTCATTGTTCTGGTATTGACGCTCGTCTCTGAACTAATTGTATACTTGGTCGATTCAAGCCCTTTTATCAAAGAGACTAAGTACTGGCGAGAACGTTCGATTAGATCCTAGCAGAAATACAATGAAATATTGGGGTGGAGTTGAACTTCATTGGCGTCTGCGTATGAATATGTTTTCTACAGAGTTTGAAAATAACAAAAAAAATGGTAAGTCGCGCAAGCTCAGTGGAACAGCCGCGGATCTGGATTATAGATTTTATCAATTCACTGTTCACAGTTTCGCAGTCTGAAGCTGTCATGCACGTCTTATTTAGGGCTCAAAGTTAGAATATGTATATTAATATTCATACCTCCTCTATCTATGCTCGTTACAAGATAAATGATCCACACAATGAGAACTGTTACTGTCTTCGCAGTAGCCAGTGGACCATCTGAAGCCTCGGCGCATGCACGGTAAGATGTCATACTTGAACACGCACCGATGTCAGGCTCCCTGTTTTCAGCATGTGTGGAGATATGTGTGTAAGACTTTGTATTTGCCGCAAGAGTGAAAATTCTGAATACAATACTTTCACGGCGGTTTCCAAGTTAGCATTCTGTGATAAGAGGCTCTGACTGGTGAACTTTCTTTTGTGCCTTAGAAAAATAGGTTCAAAGAAAATTTGGTTTTCGGTCATTTTAGCGATTACTGTTTTAACCGCAGAGCCGCTTGAGCTTACGGTTAGTTAGTTTGTGCATGGTTAAGACACATTATCATCATAAAGAACAGTTTTGCGAAGCAGTTCATGTGCATGACCACCTTGCTCTACCACGTAACGCATACTGCTGTGGAGCAGGCTAACATTTTGCCAGCCCAACAACGTTGTCTCCACTTCACAACGCTAGCAATAACTCATAAATTTTCGTAAGGAAATGCTATAACTGTATTAGCTGTCACATCGCGCAAGCAGCTGTATAAATAAAAAGAGAAAATGGTTGTTTAGATCACTATGAAACGGAATCTACATTTCTGGTGCCACATGTCAACAGCGGCAAAGTGTGGGGAACATGATGATACAATCAGTGCACCACGGTTACACATACTTCAGTGTTTATTCCACGCCACACTTCGTCCAAGCTGGAGTAAGCTCTCTGCCGTGCCTGTAGCTTCAGGTGGCAGTGATAGGTTCCAGAGTAGCGAACATTTGTACGAGACGAGTCCACAGTGAAAACAAATATTGCGATAAACAACCCTTGTTAGAGGAGCAATAAACTCTACACAAAAATAAGAAAAACAAACAGACAAAGAAATCGCCTAATGGTGCAAGAAATGAAAACGTATCTGTTATATAAACCCTGAGCGGTGATCGGTCCCTCTTGTGAATACTGATCGCTGTGGCCGCAGAGGTAAAAGTGAAGTGTAATATCGAAAGTTGTATAAAACTTTCGCCTTGATTTCGTAGTCTTATTCATAATTGAAAGAGACGCCATAGTCTTCATGAAGTTAATTTGAATGCCTTATGAAATAGAATTATAATAGGGAACAATGTTGCCGAAAAAGTACACCCACCATAAAATTTTTATAGTTTGCAAAGCCTTTCGGTTTCGCCAAGGCAAAATGACGCTTTGCAACAAAGATCCCATAGTCAATTTCATAGCAACAAGTACAAGGGAGTTCAAAAGTTTCCAAACCAGTATCTTACCAATTTCTGTGGCAGCATAGCTGGGAACCAAGACTGTACTTCCCTGAATCATTATGATTACCACGTCAGAAGTTGATTTCAATACTGCAGTAAGATGCAATTGAATCTTGCGGCGTTTCCACTTGATTTAAGTCTGTCGCCTACCGTTGTAACATTCGTGACATTCGAGAATGTTAGGCACGCGCTTAAACTTCACTACACTATAAGTTCTCGCGTAGAGGCTCTGTGTTGAAGCGGTCAACGCACTGGTTGTTCTTCGATCTCCTGAAAGAAATATTACAAATATTGTAGACAACAACGTTTCCCCTCCCCCCAAACAAACATGTGAGAGGCTTATAGGGCTAATTACCTACAAACTTCTTGAGCCATTTTTTTCACGTTATTCATTAATTGCGCACAAAAAGCTTTTAAAAGTTGTGCATCGTGCTTGAACAGAACTAAAATATTTTATGATTGGCCTGATGTTGTCTACAAAAGAATGGGCAATGATTATGTGCATATATCAATATATCCTTTAGCAGTTGTATGACATGAGATCAATGTGTGATGACTCATCACCTTAATGAACAAGTCAACGCTGACCGCTCTTTCAGACATGTCTTATGATTTCCCGGCTGGTTAAGGTGATATATTTTTCAACAATGCCTTATTTTGTGCCGCACGTATTGTATGTCAGCAGTTCACATATATACACACATACACTAGGAGGCGTTTCAATAAATGTGCCCCAAAATTTTTCATTGTAGGAGAAATTGAATATTTGCTCACCCCCTTCCTAATTACTAAACATGTAGCAGTAGCCCACCTACATTATCACACACAAATAATATGACACCAATCGTATCAACTAAGTTAAATTCTATTTAGAGGTGCAGGTCGCTCGTGTTATATGAGAAAATCGAACCCCTCCCTTCATAGAGCAGACTGTGTTCTGAAGAGTCGAAGAAAGCAACCTGTGGCAATTACAAAAAACTTGAACTGATTGCTTCAGAATAGCCACTTATGCTTTAGTATTCTTACCTGTCTGAAGTATTCATTCGAATGTCCAACAATATATATTTTTTAAAACTTCATGTCTTCCGTTCTCCCAGCGAAACGTCGCCGCGAAATCCAGTGTGGCACAGAACACTTGATTAGAAAACATAAAACGCTGCCACATCTTAAGGTCATAATGATACTGCGGGTAACAAGCAAAAAAGACGCTACTCATTACTCTGTTACTTACTTTGAATTTCCCAGGTGTACGGATTCATGTATCGTGTCGGGAAGTGCTACCCTGAACGTCTCTGGTAGCAGCAGCATGAGCCCTGAAGCAAGTGTCGCGAATCCAACGAGGATAGCCATTGGCAGAGAGTAACTGCTGGACGTTCTCTGCGTGGAATCGCCGAGTGAGAGTGTCACACTTCTGCAGACATCTGAATTATAGGCTTGAGATAGCGCAACTGGGTAGTGGATATATAAAAACACGTAATAACAGTAACAGGGCCTTCTGGATTACAAAAATTAAACAAGTTTCCCATGCACAGCGTGATGGTAGCTTACTGGAGCTTTCACGAGGAAGAAAGAATTAGGAACTAAAAGAACCGCAACAATTCTTGCATGTCATACTCAATACGAATACATATGACAAGTCAACTTGTAATGTTGCGTGGAAGTGTTAAAATACCCAAATATAGTCGCATTTGTATCTCACATTTGGATGTGGAAAGCTTGTATTCCGACCTCCATTGTCATCACCACCTTAAAACTGCACGCTAATAAAGTGCCATCAAAAGTTTGCAGACAAGGCGCAGTAGTTATGAAACTAGGTGCGGATGTATAATTAACGTAGCACTTTTTTGACGAACATTATCACTCTAATACTCGTTTCACGGGAGTGTAATTAGGAGCTATCACCTATCATGCTGTTATGGGACACATTTGTGTACAGATATTTTCAACTTTAGGGTGCATATTTGTTATTGAAACTTCTTTCTTTAAACGATTGGCCTTTGTTAAGAGAGAAATACCTAATCGAAGAGCTGGAGATGTTTGTCTGGCGTTTCGGCTCACATGCTACTTTTCGTTCTGGGTGATTATTAATATATATAAACACTTATAAACACATAAGACAAAGAGCCACACACGCACGTATACTAGACTGTTTGCAGAGTTTTTTTTTTCAGGCTTGTGGGCCTCAAGAAAGTCAGTGGGGTTTTCGTGGTGCGTAACCTGCTCCAGCTGCTTTGGCGTGGCTGAGGTTACGTACCAGTTCGAGAAGCAATGGTGCGGTCGAGGACCCGATGCGTGTGCCGACCAAGCAGGCGCTCACACCGAATGTCCGGAACACTGTCGGGAATATTTCGGCAGCGAAAATCCAGAGCAGCGCAAGAGACACGGACGCCAGCATCTTGCCCGCAATGCCGCACATCTGGCGTAGTACAACCCAATCTAGATGAGATTGGAAGCGATGCGTTAGGAAACGGCAACAGAAAATTGCGTGAAGCAGTGACTCCATATAGTCACTTACGTGAATTAGTGTTAAGTTCGCTTTAGTATATAGTGGAGACGCCTAATAAACTTTTGTGAAATTTGTTATTGCGAATGAAACACCTCTCAACGATTTGCCACTAAGATGTGCTACTCAAGGTACAATACTTATGGGCCATGTCGTGAGCGTTAAATATGTGGTGTTGAGAAAAGTAAAATATCTCTGTCACTGCGGTGTGTCGGCTCTAAGCCGATAAGTGGTATCAATTGATAATGTTACGAGTAACTTGTTTAATGTGCTATTTACAGCGCAGAGAACCCGACGAGCAAGATGGCGTCAGACCAGCATCCAACGGAAAAACCCACTTCGTCCTCCTCTTTCATGCAGCCGTGTTTAGCGGCTGTTTTGTATCATAACCCCCGGCAGTAGAAGCACCGTCCCAGTGCTAAATTTACGCAGATGATGTCGAAGGGGGTAATAGGGCTTTAGCCGAGCCACGTGAACGGTGTCGCTCGGAGCTGACGATGACGTTGTTGGATCGGTTGGAACAAGCTCGTACGTGACGTCTGTCACTTGGCGAACGATACGGAATGGTCCAGTGTAGGGCGACAACAGTTTTTCCGACAGTCCCACACGCCGAGTAGGTGACGAGAGGAGCACGAGAGAACCCGGAGAAAAGTGCACGTCCCTATGGTGAGAATTGTAGAGCTGTTGTTGGCGCGCCTATGAACGCTGTAGACAGTTACGGGCGACTTGGCGCGCGTGGTCGGCGCGGGCAATGGCTTCACCAGCATATTCAGTGGCCGCAGGTAGTAACGTGTCTAAGGGTAGAGTTGGGTCCCGGCCATATAGTAGATAGAAGGGCGAATATCCGGCAGTGTTGTGACGAGATGAGTTGTAGGCGAACCTCACATACGGCAAATGAATGTCCCAGTCATGGTGGTCTGGCGCAACGTATTTGGCAAGCATATCGGTTAGGGTCCTGTTAAGGCGCTCCGTGAGGCCATTTGACTGGGAAGGTACGAAGTAGTAAATTTGTGCTTGGTATGGCAAGACCTCAGGATTTCATGAACGACAGCTGATAAGAACGTGCGGCCACGGTCGGTGAGAAGTTGACGGGGAGCACCATGCACTAATATTATGTCGTACAGCAGAAAGTCCGCAACGTTGGTAGCGCAGCTGGTCGGAAGTGCTCGTGTGATTGCGTACCGCGTCGCGTAGTCCGTGGCAACAGCAATCCATTTATTTCCCGCTGTGGAGAGTGGAAAAGGGCCAACAGGTCGAGACCAACTCGAAAGAAAGGCTCGTTGGGAACGTCGATCGGTTGAAGGTAGCCGGCTGGGAGGGCAGACGGCGTTTGCGACGCTGACAGGGCTCACAAGCGGCGACATAGCGTCGAACAAAGCGGGCAAGTCCAGGCCAAAAAAACCGACGTCGTACCTATCGTATGTGCGAGAAGCGCCTGAATGGCCCGTCATGAGAGCGTCATGAAGTTGATGCAGGACAGTGGAACGCAGGTGCGCTGAGATGACAGGAAGTAAGTCTGATCCGAAGGAATCAAGGTTCCGGCAATATAGAATCCCGTCTTTCACCAAAAACATTCGTAGGGACGGGTCGCGAGGCGTTGACTCCAGTTTGACAATGATGGCTCGTAAAGAAGCATCCCGACGTTGCTCTTCGCCAATGTTTAACAGCTGCGACACGGAAAAAACGTCCGTGATAGCGTCAGTATCGGTTGCTTCGTCAACAGGGTAGCGGGATAAACAATCCGCATCCTGATGTAATCGCCCTGTTTTGTACATTACAGAGAACGTGTACTCTTGAAGGCGTAGAGCCCAACGAGCGAGACGTCCCGTGGGGTCCTTCAGGGAGGCTAGCTAGCAGAGCGCGTGATGATCCGTGACAACACGGAATGAGCGCCCATACAGGTATGGGCGAAAACTTGGCGACTGCCCATACAAGGGCGAGGCACTCGCGCTCCGTGATGCAATAGTCGCGCTCGGCTGGAGATAGCAGTCGACTTGCGTAGGCTATAACACGGTCGTGTCCGCGTTGTTGCTAAAATAGCACAGCTCCTACGCCGTGTCCACTGGCGTCCATGTGAACCTGGGTTGGGGCTAATGGATCAAAGTGAGCCGAGATTGGTGGCGTTGTAAGCAATGTCATAAGTTGCGAAAACGATGACGCTTGGTCATGGCCCCAGGTAAACGAGGCGTCTTTTTTCAAGAACTCTGTGAGTGGGCGTGCAATGGTCGCAAAGTCCTTAACAAAGCGTCTGAAATATGAGCACAGCCCCACAAAACTGCGGACATCCTTTGTGGTCTTCGGAACGGGAAAATTCGTGACTGCGCTAATTTTCTCTGGGTCTGGACGCACGCCTTGAGCATCGACAAGGTGACCGAGCACGGAAATTTGACGACGAGCGAAGCAACGCTTGGAGGCGTTAAGCTTGAGTCCGGCTCGACGAAAAACGTCCATAATAGCTGACAAACGATCAAAATGCGAGTCGAATGTGGGCGAAAAGGCAATGACATCGTCAAGGTAACACAAGCAGGTGGACCATTTCAGCCCTTGGAGCAATGAGTCCATCGTTCTTTCAAATGTGGCTGGTGCATTGCAGAGTCCAAAGGGCATCACTTTAAACTGATAAAGACCTTCAGGAGTGATGAATGCGGTCTTCTCGCGGTCCATCTCGTCGACGGCTACCTGCCAGTACTCTGATCGAAGGTCGATAGTTGAAAAATAAGTGGCACCGTACATGCAGTCGAGGGCGTCGTCGATGCGAGGTAAAGGATAAACGTCTTTTTTGGTAATTTTGTTAAGGTGATGGTAATCGACACAAAAGCGCCATGTTCCATTCTTCTTCTTAACAAGGACGACTGGAGAAGCCAGGGGCTGCATGAAGGTTCTATAATGTTTTTCGCAAGCATTTTGCCGATTTCATATTGTAATATTGCACGCTTCAACGCCGACACACGGTAGGGGCGTCGGTTATGGGGGTTGCATGGCCAGTATTTATGCGATGGGTGACAATGGTCGTTTGGCCCAAAGAGTTGCTGGCAAAGTCGAAAATGCGACGATAGCCCTCAAGAACGTGGCAAAGTGCTGCAGCTTGCTCAGACGTGAGGTTCGATGACACCAGTCGCTCGATGTCGGCGCCCCAAGAACGTGATGGAGTGAAACCACTGACTGAGCTGCAGCAATCGTGAACTCTGAAGGGCTCGACATGGTCATCTTGGAGAGCAGTAGTTTGGGCCAGGGAGATACCCTGTGGCAGAACTTGGGTGGTGAGTGAAAAGTTGACCAGTGGAAGGAAGGTGCGGTTTTTTCTTAATCGTCAGAATCATATGCGGCACAGCAACCCCATGCGTAAACATCACTGCAGGAATCGGGGCCACCATGTAATCACCATCAGGTACTGGTGGCGTGGAGGATAAGTCGACATGTGTGACAGAGTTAGGAGGGAGGCGCGTGAAACCAATGCAGCAGAGGCTGGTTTGCGGTGGGCTGGTCGGGTCGGAAAAGAGGGGTAAATCGAGATGGAGAGAGCCAGCTGAACAGTCTATGAGGGCAGAGTGCGTGGCTAGAAAATCCATACCGAGTATGAGTTCATGAGGGCAATGTTCGATAACGGCGAAAAGAACGAAAGTGCTTCTCTCCCCAATAGACACTCGCGCAGAGCACATGCAAGAATTGCGGCAGTTCCTCCATCGGCGACTCGTACAGCTCGGTTGAGGGCGGGCGCGACAACTTTTCTAAGTCGGCGGCGAAGGTTAGCACTCATAATGGACACATGTGCGCCAGTATCTATCAATGCACTGACATTGTCGACAGTAACGTCCAAAAGGTTCCGGTTCAGTGTTAATGTTAATCGAGGATTTCTTACGAAGGTCGTCAACGCAGTTCCACCTCCAGAAGCTGCACGGCCTAGTTTTCCAGTCGGAGATGCTGCGAATAGATCGGGGAGGCAGCACGGCTTTGTGGGGGCGACCGGGACTGACGACGAGCAGGGGACGGTGACCGGTCGTAGCGAGGTCTGCTCAGAGGTGCTGTAAAAGCGGAAAATGTGGTCGGCGTTGATGGAGAAAGTGGTGTGATACTGAGGTGCATAAGGGGACGGTGGAGCCTAGCGGCTGCGGCAGTGACGAGCGATATGACCAACGCGTCGACAGTTAAAACTAATGGCCTGTCATCAAGAGTAAGCCATTCGGACGAATTGCGTTGTATGCGAGGTGCAGAAGGGGTACAATAAGAAGGCTCAGCAGAATATACGGCAGGAACAGGATGTAGGCCGACATTCGAAAGCTCTTGATGAACGACCACTTGTATTAAAGAGATCGTGGTCGGGGAAGGCGCACGCGTCGGTAATGGCGTGGCTACCGGTTGTGCTGCCTCGACCTCTCGACGAATAATGCGTGTAAGGTTGTCACATCCAGGGGCCCGGTTAGAAGGCGTCGTCACATGAAGAAGTGGCCGCTGTGTTCGGAAGGCGCACGATGCTTTGGGCTATGCGGCGGGCTTTAGCTTGTGCGAGACGTCGGCATTCTTTAAGGATTGTGTCGATGCTGGAGACGTTGTTAAAAGCCAGCAGGTTGAAAGCATCGTCAGCAATGCCTTTGAAGACGTGGTTAACCTTTTCGTTTTCCGACATGCACTGGTCAGCCTTGGAACAAAGGGCCAAGATGTCAAGAATGTAGGAGACGTACGATTCGGTAGAAGACTGGGACGTGTGGCAAGAGTCTTCTTCGCAGCGAGCTGACAACCAGTTAAATCGCCAAAACAGGTCACGTATCTTTTCCTCGAAGAGATCCTAGCTTGTTATGTCGGCTTCGTGGCTTTGAAACCATGTTCGGGGAGTGCCGTCCAGGTAGAAAAGCACGTTGGCGAGCATGAGCGTGGGATCCCATCGGTGAGTAGCACTGACGCGCTCGTACCGCTTCAGCCAAGTGTCCAGATCGATCGTATCATCACCGAAGAAAGTGCCGGGATCCCGGAGGTGCGGTAGTGTGACGTAGATGGTGGCTTGGACTGATGAGGGCGGCGTAGAGGAAGTACCAGCAGTCGAAGCAGTCGAAAGGTCGCCGATGGTGCGACCGCTGCACGTCTCCATCGAGGTACGGGGGTCGTCTACCTCCACCAATAATGTTACGAGTAACTTGTTTAATGAGCTATTTACAGCGCAGAGAACCCGATGAGCAAGGTGGCGTCAGACCAGCATCCAACGGAAAAACCCACTTCGTCCTCCTCTTTCATGCAGCCGTGTTTAAGCGGCTGTTTTGTATCAGTATGTTTGTAAACATGTGTTTGTAAGATATCCATGCTTCTATATTTTTTTTATTCATGAAAGTACCACACTGAATATTACAGAACTTCAGATGATGTTGTTTTGGGAATTATTTTCAAATCAGATTTCTCAACCAGGGAAGTGAAAGTGTTGTAAGCGTGTGTGATCAGATTTGAGTGCACGTTAAAGAACACCAGGTGGTCGAACTTCGGAGGTCTCCACCACGGCGTCTCTCATAATCATATAGTACTTTTGAAACGTTAAGCCCCAATATCAATCAATGAATGAACTGCTATCGGGGAAGAAAAAAGTGCTAAACCTATTTATCACCCCATTACACTGAGCTCACGTTCATACCGGTGATTCTATTCACCATTTCATGTGAACCTTGGCATTCAGATTTTTTTTTCAGCCACCAAGTTTTTTTAGTGCTCAAGAATGACATCAACGTATAGAGATGCAGTAGCTTGGCACAATACAACATATCCACCTAAACGTTCTTTTATTTTGCCAGAAATTAGTCAAAGATTTATGCATTGGACTAGCTCCTCTACAATATGTATTTATAAAATTTCTGGTTGTGTATACATAAAACTTCGGCATAATATATATATATATATATCATATATATATTATCTATATATCTATATATATATAAATATACTATATATATTATATTATATATAATTGTGGGTCAGCTTTTCTTTTGCTGCAATGCCCAGTGAATTGTCCTTTATGAATGCGAACGTTTTCGCCGAAGCATACACGAGCTCATTCCGCTAGAAACTTTCTACGCTCACCCTAAATAAACGCAGCTCTAAACATCTCGAAAGTGTGAATTTATTATTAGCTGCACAGTAACTAGAGGCGCCTTCTTGCCATCATAAGCCCTATGCCCTATGGGGATTAACTGACATCGTAACAAATTGAGTGTTGAATGTTTGGTTATTTAAAAGGCCGTCTTATCGTATCTGTGCCAAGGCGCCACGTCATAATCAACGTCACACGTAGGTGTAAATGCATGCCGGACTACTACTTTAGCTCATTAATTCTTTCCCGCCCTGTCGAGGTGCTAAATCATCACCCTCGCGGCTTACTTCCATTTAACGTAGATTTTTTTTTCTCTTTTGATAAACAGTGGTTTAAATTGATGTCACGTCAACTGGGCTGGTTTTCTTCGTACCTCATTTGCATACGCTGCATCTTGCATCTGAGTTATCTTGAAAGTTTATTTGTAGGGGCCTTGAAAACTGTAGCCTTATAGGTATCTAAAGATCATTAGAATATATATTGTGATTTTATTATTTTGTGTCTCTATTTTTTACGCTGCCCTCTCCTGTTTCGATGAGCACTCGTGCTTGAGTGGCTAATGAAAAAAAACAGTAAGTTATCGCACCTTGCTTAGGACGCTCACGTCTGATGTAGAAGCAACAGCGAATCGTCCGAAAAGACGTGACTCACCCAGGAAAGCGAGCACACTGCAAAAGTGCAGAGTGCGGTGCCGGCGTACACGGCTAACATTGTCGGACAGCCTCGTAAACCAGCGCACGGCTGTGTAGCAGACGAGCACCGCTGGTATCTCCACGAGGGCAGCCAGAACAAACGTCAGGTACGGATCTCCGCCCAGGCTCGTGACCGAGAGCTGAAGTCGTAGAATGTGTCCCACCGGTTACCCTGCTTGACCAAAGCACAGGACAAGAATACGTAACCAGTTGCAGAGGGCCGCATTTTGTGTGTGTGTGTTTCTGTAACTTGTTTCCAGAACAATTGGTAAAACTGGGCACGATTGTAACGACAAGGAATAAGCCACTTCTGATGATGATGACGCATTTCCAACTAGTTGAGGTAGATTAATTTTACAAGTACCACGTCTAAGTACATCAGTCCTTACAACGAAAGTCAGTGTATTTGCCCACACACATACATAATGCTTAGGTTGCAGTGGTCGCTTCACCTATCAAGTCCCAATGGAGAATAGCCATGAAAGTATGAGGTATGCATAAATACGCCTCATTTTTATTGGTTTATTTAAAGCGATTCATATATAAGTTTGTTATGAGAAAGAAAAACTAAATAAAGGTCACTAATGGTCAATGTATCCAATGTTAGATACCACAAATAAATACTTCATGAGCAATATTGGGAATAAATACTGGTGTAAAGAGGGTTATTGGGCGAACCAAACGGGCAGGTGGGGAGATGGAGATGGTGACAGGACGAGGAAGATGGAGGCGCTCGAGCGCCGATCTCGTGGTGCCTTACTCTGCGATGATGCTTGCTGTTCCTTTCGTTGTCCTCATTCCTTCGTTATAATTGCCCCGTCGAGAAAGATCAAGCCATCCTGGCGATCTAACAAGTGGGAACGAGCGGGTCGAAGTACGGCTTCAAGCGGTGTTACTGTGAACAATATCGTGTCCACGCCGACGACGGTCACCGGGTGGCGTAAGCGGTTCAATGGCGTAATTGACGGCGATGTGCGCTCTACCACGTGGTATGGGCCGTGGTAATTTGAAAGTAGCTTGGTAGACAACCAGTGCACAGGGTGGTACATACAGCCATACAAGGGTTCCAGGGTGGCGAACTTGGCGGCAGGAGGGTTGTCGTCATCGCGGGCACTTTTCTTCTGGCTTTGCGGGTCAGCCGTAGTAAACTGCTTCGCTAGTTGGCGGCATTTCTTCGGCGTGACGGGCGGCTTCAGACACGGTCGTGCACTCAGACACATCTGGTGCGTAGGCAGCAAAGTGTCAATTGTGTGCGATGGTTGACGTCCGTATAATGGTAGAATGGAGAAAAGCCGGTGGTGACTTGGGTAGCGGTGTTGTACGCGTAGGTCGCAAACGGAAGAACCAGATCCCAGTTCGTTTGGTCAGATGCCACATGCGTCGCGAGCATGTCACCCAGGGTCCGATTAAACCACTAAGTCAGGCCATTCGTCTGAGGGTGGTAAGCAGTACTCATCCGGTGTACAATATGGCACTGATGGAGAAGTGCTTGGATTACGTCGAATAGAAATACACGGCCCCGGTCACTGAGGAGCTCGCGAGGAGGGCCGTGACGCAACACAAACAGATAGAGGATAAAAGATGCGACATCCTGAGCAGTCGCCGTAGGAAGAGCAGCGGTTTCGGCGTACCGTGTCAGGTGATCTACAGCAACGGTAGCCCACCGGTTACCTGCTGTGGTCAATGGCAGTGGTCCACAAAGGTCGATTCCGACGCGATCGAATGGGCGGTTAGGGCACGCAAGCGGCTGTAGTGGAGCTGCTCCTGCATTCGGTGGCTGTTTTCGTCGCTGACACTCGTGGCAGCCGCGAATAAACTGTCGAACAAAAGTAAACATCCCACGCCAGTAGTACCGCTTCCTTAAACGCTCGTAGGTCTTGAAGACACCGGCGTGAGCGCATTGCGGGTCGGGGTGAAATGATGCACAGATTGTAGAGCGCAGCTTTCGGGGAATATCGAGCAGCCACTTCCTGCCGTCTGGTGAGTAATTTCGCCGGTACAAGAGGCCACCTCGAATGGTGAAGTGCGAAGCCTGGCGTCACATTGCTCGAGTGATGGGAAGTGTCGGTACCCCAGATAAGACGTCCAGAAGCGAAGTTATCCATGGATCGTCGCGCTGTGCCGAGGTCATTGTGTCGATGTCAAGAGCGGACAGCGCGTGTTCCATAGAAGATATAGAGGCAGCCTCAGTCGACAGTGGCGATCGCGAGAGCGCATTAGCATCAGCATGTTGGCGGCCGGAACGATACACGACGCGGATGTCATACTCTTGAAGTTGCAGCGCCCAACGAGCAAGGCGACCTGATAGATCCTTCAGCGACGACAACCAACACAAGGCATGATGGTCTGTAACTACAGCAAAGGTGCGGCCATATAAGTATGGGCGAAATTTCACCATTGCCCAAAGTATGGCTAATCACTCTTTTTCGGTAACAATGTAGTTTACCTCAGCCTTGTTGAGCGTTCTGCTGGCGTAGGCGACGACATACTCAGGAATCCAGGCTTGCGTTGAGCGAGAACTGCACCGAGACCGACACCGCTGGCGTCTGTATGGATTTCAGTTGCAGCCGTGGGATAATAGTGGCGCAATATAGGCGGTGATGTCAGGAGACGGCGAAGAGTGGTAAATGCGTGATCACATTCGGAAGACCATGATGAGATGTCGTCAGCACTGCCTAAAAGTTGGGTCAAAGGGGCAATTATGGAGTCAAAGTTGCGTACAAACCGACGAAAGTAGGAGCACAATCCTACGAAGCTGCGTAACTGCAGTCGTTGGTTTGGGGAATTCAGCAACAGCGCGTAGTTTAGCCGGGTCGGGAAGAACACCATCCTTTGATACGACGTGACCGAGAATGGTGAGCGTCAGAGCAGCGAAGTGGCATTTCTTGAGATTCAGTTGGAGCTGCGCATTCTTCAGACACGTGAGGACATGTTTCAGGCGTACAAGGTGTGTTGAGAAATTGGGTGCAAAGACGACGATATCGTCGAGGTAGCAGAGGCATATGTTCCATTTCAAACTCCGCAGAACCGAGTCCATCATGCGCTCGAATGTGGCCGGCGCATTGCAGAGGCCGAAGGGCATGACATTGAACTCATATAGCCCGTCCGGTGTCACGAATGCTGTTTTTGGACGATCACCATCTGCTAAGGGCACCTGCCAATACCCCGAACGCAAATCTAACGACGAAAAAAACTCGGCACCTTGTAAGCAATCAAGGGCGTCATCAATCCTGGGCAAAGGGTATACATCTTTGCGAGTGATCTTATTTAAGCGCCTGTAATCAACGCAGAAGCGAATTGTACCATCCTTCTTCTTAACAAGAACGACAGGTGATGCCCATGGACTTTGGGAAGGTCGGATAACGTCGCGCTTGAGCATATCGTCAACGTGTTCGGTGATAACCTGACGTTCCGTGGCGGAAACACGGTATCGTCGCTGTCGTACTGGCGCGTTGGAACCTGTGTCGATGCAGTGGAAAAAACTGGAAGTTCGGCCAAGGGTAGGTTGAGCTACGTCAAAGGATTCACGAAACTGTTAGAGCAGCTAAAGGAGCTCAGAGCGTTCAGATGGCGATAGTCCGTCGGCAATCGATGAATCGAAAAGCTCGCAAGGTGGTATGTTGGAAGGTTTGAGGGCACTGATGGCGTCGTAGTCACCGGAACAATCTGGCAGCATGGTAAAAATTTGTTCTTTATCAATGGCATGCACGTGTCCAAGAGATTCACCTTGAAACAGTTCGACGGGATACGGAAGGGGATTGATGAGGCAAAGAGCACTGTTTCCTTCAGAAATAGAGGGTTGAATAAGGCAGAAGAAGTGATCTTCGACTAAGGAAGAGGCTTGATGGCTCAAAGAATGCAGCTTCGTTCCTAATGCCGTCACAGAACACGGAGAGCAACACAGCTGCTGTCGGAGGAATTTCAATGCCTTCTTTGACGACGAGTTTGTGTACGGCGGGCTGAATGCGGCTGGTTGGTCGGTCGTCAAACGGGAAAAGTTCAAGCTCCGATCTTGCACAATCAATGACGGCAAAGTTACGTGATAAAAAATCCCATGCAAGTATGATGTCAAGTGAGCATGACGAAAGGACAATAAAATCAACGATGTAGTGGTCCTTCGCGATCATCAGTCGGACAGTACAGGCGGCTACAGGCTGAACCGGGTCCCCATTCGCTGTTTGCAACGACATCATATTAAGAGGCGTCGTCACTTTTCGGAGCTTGCGGCAAAGTTTAGCGTCTATCACGGAAACGGCAGCACCAGTATCCACTAGAGCATATGCTCGAGTACCTTCTACAAAAACTTCGACAATATTCGACGGCAATGTCTGAGGACTTGAGCATTTCGACAGCGCAGTTCTTGCCTCCTGAACTGCGGCGGTTAGTTTCCCTCGTGTTCAGGAGCTGGCCGATGACGCATGGGTGACAGAGAGCGACGACGGGGTGAAGGTGAGCGACCAGACATAGTACGCGGACATTCCCGTGAAGACGAGCTTGACTGAGGGTCAGAATTTTCCAGACGGGATGGAGAAAGGTCCATGAAGCTGTTCAGTGTCCGGGCGTCTGTGTATCCCGGCACGCGACGACGGCAGTAACTGGCAATATGGCCAGGGCTGCCGCACGCAAAACAGATGGGCCGGTTATCGCGCGTTCTCCAAGTGTTGGCGACGAGGGGACCAGTCCATGCGGCAGACGGGTGAGTCGAGGCTGTGGTGGCAATGGGAGGAACCCAGGCGGTGGACGGCTGAGTCGGGGCTGAAGTATACGGCAGTCCCTGGAACGGCGGGGGGTGGTGTCGCTGCTGCCGCTTTAGTGCCTCAGCGTAAGTAAGAGGCGCGGTGACGGGGGGCTGCTGCAAGGGCACCGGCATAGCCTCGGAAATCTGCTCCTGGACCACATGTCGGAGCATGGGAGCCAATGGTGGTGGGTGTCGCAGTGGCTGTTGGTGCGAGAGCTCCTGGCGTTGAGCAAAAGGCAGCAGAGAAAGCTGCCGAGCCACTTCCTCTCGCACGAAGTCTTTCATTTGTGCGAGAAGGTTTGTCTGGTCAGTCATAGCGTCCAGTGCGGTCACTGGTTGGATTGTCTGGAATGAGCGTCGCGTCTGAGCTTGTTGCCTCCGCAATTCATCATAGGTTTGGCA